GGGCCTAGGCCCTTCATGGGCCGGCCCTGCCCTGTAATTTTTTTTTTCAAAATTTAATTTTTAAAAAAAATATATATATCATATGCCTCCAAAAGATGTGATTTTATTAAATTGAGATAATACGAATAAGTACACATAAATGACTGCCCCGTTAAAAACCTTGCCAAGTAAAACCCATCGGGAGATCGGAACAAAACCTTAGCGAATGAAAAAAGAGTGCAGTAGGAATAGTAAATTACAAACCTAAGTGCTTCCAGAAGATTCTGTTATTTCTAAGTTACAAAAATAGTCTTGCATTGAATCATCCGTGTATTGTTGTTTTCGTCTTCTAGTATCTTTCCAGTCTTTAATGCACATTAGCCCTTCCAAGATATATGGATGCATTATGTTTCTCTTCTCGTCAAGAATTCGGCTGCTTGCACTAAATGCTTGCTCTGATACTACTGTTGACACTAGAGTTGTCAGAATGTCACGAGCTATTACGGACAGTGTTAAAAAATGATCGGTCTTGCTCTTCCACCACTGTAAGATGTCTAGTTTATCGTCATCGATTACAAAATTTGTTTCAAAATATTTTACCAGTTCAGTAGACACTTGTGTTGATGACGATCCTGTCATTTTATCTTTCTTCTTCAAGAAACTCCATGACGATCCTTTAGGCCCCGAACTGCTAGTTGACGTCGAAGTTCCCTGTTCTTTTTGACCTGTGATGTATTTTGCTTCATACAAACTAAATATTTTTTCTAACATTTTCTTAGCGTCAATAATAGTTAGTTGCAAAACAATTCCTAAATTTTCTGCTGTAGCAGTCATCAAAGATTCAGTCTCATCTACTCTGCACCTAGGATCTAAAATGCTTGCTAATGCATATAACATAGGACAACTTGAGCAATAATTTTTAAATTTAGTTTCCATTAACTTAACTATGTCTTCAAAAAGTACTGCATCCCTATAATAAGAAAATGTTTCTAAAATATTAAATAGTTGATGCAAAGCTAAATGTGTAGTAGGATAATAAACTCCATAAAGTAATTCAGTAGCATTGTAAAAAACTTCTAGAAATTTAAAAAAAATACTCACCAATCTGTCAATCTGTATCAAAAATTAAAAGTTGATCGTTCTTACTGTTTACATACATTGTGATGAGCTCTGAATACGGGAGTGCAGCCTTCAACATTAAATAGGTAGAATTCCACATTTATCTCATGTCAGTTGGGAACTTTCTTGGGCGCATCTCACTGTTCGTACAATATTGTTTGAATTCTTGGAGCTGAGCTCCAGAACTAGATATGAAGGATAAAGATTCTCTAATATTTGTTAGATTAGCTAAAATATGTTCAATTTCCTGCCTGAACTACTAAATTGATTATGTGGCATGCACACCGTTGATGAAAAATCCCTCCCCCACACCCCCCCCCCCCCCAAACTGGTTTCAAACTACGTTTAAACATGTTAATTGCAGCCGTGTTAGCTGACGCATTATCAAAAGTAATAGTTAAAACTTTATCTTCTATCCCACAAAACCCAAAAATTTTCATTATTGTACTAAAAATAACTGATGAGTTATGAAGATATGGACATAAATGAAAACCTATTATTCTTTTTTGTAAAACTCATTCATCATCAACATAATGTGCCGCGACGCATAAATATCCAGTTTTATTGCACCCCTCCCATAGATCAGAAGTACAAGATACAGTGGCATTAAAAGTCCTAAAATTATCAACAAGAGATTGTCTCATTGCATAAAACACTTTCATGCAATCAAAATGAGTTGTGTTTCTACTTACCTATTTAAATTGTGGGCAGAAGGCCGTCTGTATGAATTCTTCGAACGACACATCATCTACAAAAGAAAGAGGCAATTCGGCACTAGCTAGAAATTTAGCTAGTGCTTCACGAGGACGTTGTGTATCGTATGTAACATTTTGCAACCCCTGTGATGTGAGTGACAGTGTTTGTTGGCGGGAGTCCACACTCCTACCTTGGTGCAACGATAGACATACTTTACAATGTCTATCCAGATGACCAGTACTCCCACCCTTTTTATTAGAAAAGTATTTTTTACAATACTTACATAACACACGAATTTCCATTTCACCTGTTTTTGGATTTGGTCGGGGCTATGCTGCCATGCAGGAGAAGTTTGCGGTCTTTTTTCCCTAGTGCGTTCTCTAACTTCCTCGTTGTGCATTGAAGTATTATCTAGCGGGGCATTTTCTGGTTCAGTGGGGGTGGGGTTGGGAGGCATCATTTCATCCTCAAAAATTGACTCATGACCAAGCTCAGGAAGAGCAGTGAAATCAGGGAAGTTTGATGCAGCCATTTTCTAAAAATTGATTGAACTTAAACTTTGTAAATGAAAGAGCAAGAAAATGAGTGATCGCAAGAAAAAAGCTTAGAATCAAAATAAAAGAGACAAGATGAGAGATAGAATGAGAGTGAGATGAGAAGTTGGGAGTGAATTGTTGTGTGGGATTTAGGATAGAATTAAGGGTATTTGTAGGGGACTTTTTT